CCCTCTCGCTCTTTCTCCCCAGTTTTTCCGCGGAAACCCACGGGTGACACGAGGCTCGAACACAGAGGAACCATTCATCCATCGGAATGACCCCAGAGGCGCCAATCAAACGCGTCGCCTCACCCTGAATACTCAATGGAGATATAGAGATACTGCAGCCGGTACGCCAATATTAATAGGAGGACGCACCGTCCTCTCGATTCCTCATCGATCCAACCTTCAGCCGCCGTCCGTACTCCAGATTTCTATTTTCGCTCTGGCCGGCTCCCGACTTTCGGATTTCGACTTCGAAAACTGTGACGATCGTGCTTTGCGTGTTTCGAGGATGAACTCCTTTGCGGAGCGCAAAGGATGATTTTCATTTGTGGGTAATCACGCTTTGCGAGGGTTGATGAAAGGGGAACCTAGATCCTCGACGTCATCGGACGTTCAACTCTTGAACCTTCCTCTTTATCGCTCTGTACGGTTCGACGCTGGAACCGCTGAGCTTCAATTAGTTTCTCGAAATTCCTATATGGAAACTCGAAGGGTGCATATATCGACAGTTTGATTTATAATCCAGTCGACGTTTCGATAATACAGTTCCTTCAATCATTTCTCGAAGTAACGTCTGTTGCCTTTTTAGTCATTGCAAAATGCGTTAATGAGGAATTAAATAGAGATAAGAATAATAATAGCCATCGGCAGATTAAGGAATGGAGTATCTAAGGTATGAATCAATTGAAACGCGACTGTGTTTCTGGAAGAATGAAGTATTGATAAACAGTCTAAATTCAGATCGAAGAGTGAATGGAGCCAGAATCCGCTCGCAAACGTACGATCGTAAATTATTCAGCCGACTGTCTCGGCACTGTGTAATATTAAATACTTCTAAACGGATTGCGGAACGAAAAGGAAGCGAGTATCGCACGGTGACCGAGTAATAGTCGCGATAGGTGTTGGCGTTTCCGTTCGGTGACAGCGTTATTTGCGTCGACGGTCGAGAATGGATTTCCAGTAACCTCGTAGTCGGACTGCGTCAGAATTCAACGGTACTCAATAATTCAATCTCAGCGGAACGGCGGTTGTTAATTCAACCAAAGTATCGTCGTTTCCGCGGCGTCGTTCGATCCGTTTCGTCGCGCTCCTCGCGACCTTTCGCGTGGCACGTTCGCCGTATTAAACGGAGGTTCGCGTGAACCAACGTAAAACGCGGAACGCGACGACCTTTCTTCTCGAGTTAGACGCGGTGCATGTTAATACTCCCGTAGACATCGAAATGTCCGCACTTTTCCGAAATATTGAGACAGAAACCAGCGAACAGTTGACTTCACTGAAATTTCTCCATGGAAACCGCGAGAGCATCTGTCGAGACTTTAATCGATTAATTTCGCTAATTTCAAATTTAAGAAAGAAATAACTTCTGTAATTCATGAACTCGGTAATTCCAATAATTGATGATTTCAATCATTTCGATATCCGACGATTTCAACAATTTCGCAGGGGAATATCAATCAACATTGCAATAATTGCAAATGGAACAAACCCGAAATGTCATTTCGACCAGTATGGTACTTCCGGTGTTAAAACGATACACTAATAGAGTGCACACGCGACCGATTCCAAAATGAAAAACGTGTACACGCTACAATAGCTATTGATTATTACCCAACAACAATGATGCTAGTCTACTGTGCGAAATATTAAACAATATAACAGGCACGCGCCAATAGCGTCCGTTTTCAGCTTCAATTACGTATCCCGCCGTCGCCGAAAAGGAATGTACAGTACCCCCGACCGAATAACGAGGAAAGTTTCTGTAATTAAAGGTTGCTATCAGTCGATCTCCGGGAACGCGGAACATTATACCAGCGAGCGCGCAAATGGGTCCGATCTGTTTTCAAATGGAATTCAAGTTTCATTCGCGGCTCGCGTTTCCATCGTTAAAGAATTTTCCCCGGCGCAGTCCGGGGATCAGCGGCGACCGGTTAAAAAGGCAGCGAATGAATTTCCGCGCCGGCTCGTTCGGATCGCGCGAGGTCGAGGCCGAAGTGGGAATGTCATCGAGACTCCGGCGGAACGTCGATATCCGTATTAATCGAAGCCCGCGTATTTCCGGGCGCTATTATGCACGTTTACGGGTGCGTCGCGACGCGGACAGGCACGCAGCCTCGCGTTACCTAAAACGAGCCATAGAAAGCGATTTCCCGGAGGCCGGCGCGCGCTGATCCGAGCCCGCATTATCGTGGAAGCCAGTGGTGCGCTCGTAACGAGTTATTTAACGTTATCGTCATCATATAGAACCGGCGTCGGCAAACAGCCCGGTATAAACCGAACAACGACGCGCTCGCTCCTCCTACGTTTCAGTAAACAACAGCAGCAGCAGCAGCAACAACAACAACAACAACAACGCGTCCGGGTTCCCTTTTCCCTTTCCTTTCCTCCTCGCTCGCCATCAGGACCAGCTATTTATTAGCTAATTGCCCCGCTATTTTTCCCGATGCTTTTAGCCGGCCGGATGATAAAAAGTAGCGGCTTAAAGCGAAGCTACACCGCAACGAACGCTGCTAATGGCCAATTCTGGCCCCGATAACGAGCCATTTTTCGCGATCGTTCCAGTTCTCGCGGCTGCTGCCGCTGAGCCCTCGGTTCTTGTTCCGACGACGTCGGACTTCTTTACGAGTTGAATGGATAAACAAGGTGGCGCGCGGGAATAGAATGCGGGATCACGGTTTCGGTAACCAATGTTAGAACGTTGTTCGGTAATCTTGCGAACTTTGTTTCACCCTTAACGGAGCACCGCCGTTGTAGAAGTTGCACGGTTTTACTTGTGTCGCGTATATAGCAACAATCGTTTTATTATGTTTATCGCTGTTGTAGTATTTACAATGAACACGTTAAGTATCGTGCTGGGTTACTTCTATGAATTTCTTTCTTGTTATCCATTGTTAACGCGTTGCCTAACCGAATCGAATTACCGCAATTCAATCAATTAAACGACGATTGTTTAAAAATATTCCTATATTATAAATAATGCTACCGAATGCGTTGATCAGCTAGATGAATGTCTAATGATAACGCAATTCAATCGAATGATTCAATATTATATTTCTTCCATTTTGTGTATTTCGTTCTATGAAACCGTGCGGCGTTCAGCGTGTTAATAAGCAAACTCGAAACACTTCTGGTCCGTTTTATTTACTAATTATTAATAATCTTAACCGTGGAGTGTAC